AGCTGGGCTCGAAGCACGCCTGGCCTTCTGTCTTGTGCGTAGTTTTGAGCCTGGTGAAGGGGAAGCTGAGAAGTACCGTAAGAACTCGATCAAGATAATACTTGCGTGAGGAACGTGCTGCCGCTACTTTCCCCCTTTGCACCCCCCTCCCAATTCTCCTTCGTGCAAACGGCTGACCTAGGTTTCTTCTTTAATCACAGCTCTCGGATCCGGTATCTTGTTCACGTACCCTCAGATCGCTACCATTGCTGGTGTACAGGGTCTCTTGGTTTACGCGCTATCATCGTCCCTGCCCTTATTGGTCTTTGGCGCGTTGGGTCCCATCATTAGACGGAAGTGTCCTGAAGGCTTCGTGCTGACAGAATGGACAAGGCAGCGCTACGGAGCTATCGGAGGACTCTTTCTGAGCGTCTGCACGCTCATCACCATGTTTTTGTACATGATCGCTGAGCTCTCGGCCTTGCAGCAAATCGTCACTCTACTCACGGGCTTGAACGGTCTTCCGGTTGTCATTGTGGAGTGCGCTGTTACTACCATCTACACCTGTAAGATTTGTTGCAACTCTAACTACGAGCATCAACTAAAACTTTACTTCAGCACTCGGGGGCTTCAAAGTCTCTTTCGTAACCGACAATATCCAGGGCGTTATGGTCATCGGCCTTATCATCATGGGCGTCATTGCTGTCGGCGTAGAAACAGACATCGACCGCTCCCTCATCGACCAATCCCGATACCTCGAATCCAGCCTCCTAGGCTGGCAACTTATCTACATCCTCCCTGTCGCCATTTTGTCAAACGACTTCTTCCTCTCAGGCTTCTGGATGCGTACTTTCGCCGCTCGCACGGACAGGGATCTCTGGATTGGTGTCTCACTCGCCAGTATGGGCGTACTGATCATCCTCACTCTGCTAGGCGTGGGAGGAATGCTTGCAGCCTGGTCTGGTGCGTATACCATTGGCGACGAAGAAAACGGCTCTTTGGCCTTCTTCTTGTTGCTAGAACGGCTGCCTGCGTGGGTTGTCGGTGTTGTTCTCGTCATGACCATCTCGCTTTCCACTGCTGCATTTGACTCTTTCCAATCGGCCATGATCAGCACGGGAAGCAACGATTTCTTCCGCAACAAACTCAACATCTGGATCATCCGCGCGTGCGTTGTGGCGCTCATCTTCCCTGTTGTCGTCGTGGCTCTGCGCAGTCCCGATATCCTGCAAATTTTCCTAATCAGTGATCTTGTCAGTGCAGCGGTTGTACCTTGCCTCGTCATCGGGCTGAGCGACAAGTTTTACTTCTACCGGGGTTTCGACTTTGTTATTGGAGGCCTTGGGGGTATCTTCACCATCTTCTTATTTGGGCTTGTCTACTACAATGGCGATGTCACTCTAGCCGGGAACTTGCTGTTGTTGGAAGGTGGATTGTACGCAAATGACTGGAGCGCTTTCGGTGAGTGCAAGCTATTCCGGCGCCCATGACGATTGCTAACAACGACGAGGTGCTTTCGTAGCAGCGCCCTTCGGAGGTCTTCTTTGGGCTTTTGCTGCTTGCGCTCTCCGCATCGGGTTCCTCTGGATCAAGGCCAAGTTTCAGGGTCGTCGCTTCGACGCGTTTGACCGACCTCTTCCACGAAACATCGATAGACCTGGTGCTTTCGACGAGCACGATGGTGAGGCTGTGGTTGAGCATAGCAGCATCGAGAATGGCAGCAACGGGAAGTTCTTTTAAGACCGTGCAGATGTGGAGGGTAAAAGTGAGTAAGGGAGTGCATGTGCGAAGTCAGGATGACCAAACAGATGTAAATAATCGGGTTTTGCATTCTTGACATGTACCATACATAAGAGGGAATGAAAGAGGCAGCAAAGGGTGTTGGTCAAACCACGGAGAAGTTGGACATTCGAGCTCGTGGTAACAAGTACGGGGAAAGATTATGATCAAGTACGCGGTGGGAATCTATACGGATGAGTCGGATCGTAATTTACTCTCACATATAGTGGAGAATGCCTGTGAATACAGCGTGCTTGCTACATACAAAGAGGAATTATGGCAGATATCTGTAACCGAGATGGAGGAGCTAAGACGCAGCATCCAGAAGAGACACGGGTGGCGTCGCGTGGAGCTGAGGTGGGGGCGGGGCAGCTTGGCAGGGTCCATGACGGAGCCTCGCGCTGTTGGAAATATCTGACGTTCCAGGCACCAGACGTCTACAAGAAACGTTTGTTACCACCCGCCTGCACTTTGCACACTCTGCCGAATCTTCCCAACAGGCGTTTCCTCCACACCACCATCATGCAGATGCCAGACATGCCCGTCAACGTCCCAATCGACGACCCCAACGCCGACACGGAATGGTGAGTCAAACCACCATCAGGTGATGGCGAAAGACACAGTACTGAAACTAGCGCGTCAGGAACGATATTCTCAGGAAACATGGCGTCATCCCCGAGAAGCCGCCATCGCCGACACCCATGATTCAGGAGGCGCTTGAGCAGGCTCGCGAACTCGCACACGAGAACCGTTTAGAGGGCAAAGACATGGACGAGCTGGCCGAGCTAGAGGATGAAGAAGACGACGACTTTCTCGACTCGTACCGTCAAAAGCGCATGGCCGAGCTTGCATCGATAAATACCGCTTCGGTGTACAACCAAGTCTATCATATCCAGAAACCCGACTACTCTTCCGACGTTACCGAAGAGAGCAAAAAGGCATATGTGCTGGTCTTGTTGACGAGTTCGACGGGCACAAACACCGAGTCAAGAGTCATGATTGAGCATTGGAGGGAGTTGGCAAAGAGATTTGGCGATGTCAAGTTTTGCCAGATGAGGGCGGATTTGTGCATCGAGGGGTACCCGGATAAGAACACGCCGACGGTGCTGATCTACAAGGACGGGGATATCAAGAGGCAGATTGTTACGCTGATGCAATTGAAGGGACCGAGGACAAGTGTACAGGGTGGGTCGCGTCCCTCAACTCCTGACGGCAGTCCTGCATTACGGTGTGTTAACTTGCTATGACAGATCTGGAAAGGCTTCTCGTTGATGTTGGCGCCGTCAAATTAGGAGACTCGCGCCTCCAGAAGAAGAGAGACGACGAGGACGCCAACCCTAGCAGGATAAGACAAGGCAATACCGCAGGAGACGACGACGATAGCGACTGGGACTGAAGGCGCACTGATTGGGTATTGTGACGGCTTATTGCCTGGTAGGGTTGTTGACGTCCACGACGTCGACCTCAAAGCTGTCTCCCGGAGATTTGCTTTGTACGCGCCGTATGAGGAACGTCTGGCATTGAGACATGTGTTGGCTTTCCAGGCAGTAGTTGCCGATGGCGGATGCTCGCTTCGCATGGACGTATCAGATACTGTGGCGCCTCGATCGGTGTTGAGTAGATACATTCTGGTCGTGGACTGACCCCTTACTGGTAGACTTGTTCTACGCTGCTGGTTTGAGGTACGAGCGTTGAAGATGGGGAGTCATGTTCTCCGGACACGGGAGTGTTGGTGGTGAACAAGTCAAGATGAAGAAATTTGGATTTCTGAGAGTCGACTTGCTACGTGGCAGGCTGGGGCATGGGCAAACAAGCACATGGCGTAATAGAATTCTCGCCTTATCTAAAAAAAAGTGTGTTCTCTCATCGCCATCTGTCCAACACTGGAGCGCCCGTCTTGTGGGAAAGCTCGTGCAGCCACCGGACGCCGAGCGCCCAAGGCCCAAAACGCAAAGCCAGCGTCGCAGCGCAAAAGAATAGTAAAAGACGCAAGGGGTATGGAGGCAGCAGTCATATGAGCTCATCGCCGCCGCAACGGCGCGACTCGTCGACTGCTCGCCAGATGGTGCTCTCTTCAAAGACGGGGCCGTGGCCGTCACACTTGGCGGAGCCTTTCAGGCGCTCGCACACGTCGGCCACGTCAACCAGACCCTGCTTGACGAGCGGATGTTGCTGGATGAGGTCCCAGGCCTGGGCAGCGGGGACCTCTTTCGCCCCGGCGCGGGTGCGTGGATGCTCCTTCGCGGCCGTGTTCACGACGGTGGCGTTGGTCAGGGACTCGACACGGTAGCCCGTGGCTGTTGCTTCGTCGTCGTCGCCGTCGTGGCCATGGTCGTGGACAGGCAGATAGGCGCCCGGTGAGGGGTACGTGGCGGAGAGGGGGCGCGAGGCCGAGGGGGAGCGGCGGGTGGTGGCGCGCAGGATGTCGTTTTCGGTGCGGGCGCGGTCGAGGGCGGCCTTGAGGCGGTCGTTGTCGGACTGCAGCGAGTGGGTGCTGGACTCGAGGGCCGAGAGCTTCGTCTCGAGCTCCTTGACGTGGCGCTCCTTGCGCTCGCGGAAGGCGCGCTGGCTGGAGAGGCATGAGCACGGGGGCGCTGGATGGGGGACGGGGGCGGGACACGTACGCTGCCCTGTTCTGAGCCTTGCGCCTGCTCTGCGCCGGCGTCAGGCTGTCCTTCTCCTCGCTGCTGCTGCGCGCCTGCTGTGGCTGGCCGTCGTCGAGGTCCGCGCCGAGCCCCGAGTCTACGCTGTCGTCTGTCGCGCCAAAGTACGCGTGGGCCATGGCTGCTCGATGTTGCTGCGTGCAGCGTCTGCTAAGTACTGCCTCGACGCACCGCCTGCAGTCTCACACACGCAGCCCCTCGGCACTGTCAGCACCAGCCTCCGTCGCTCGCCGCAGCACCCATCGTCCCCGACGCCTTCACCTCCGCCAGCAGCCCGTACGCCCGCGCTTACACGTCGGCATTGGGCGCCGCCAAGGCTTTCCGAGTTGCCGGGGGGTCACGCCAAGCCAGCGAGAATTTGCATCTAATCTTATCAATCAGCTGTCCCGAGCCGCACTATGCTCCATCCAGCACCGAGAAGCTGTCCGTTTGCTTGTACAGTAGTAACGCGTTCCGCACTGGGAAATCACATGAAATATGCAGCCCGCATTCTTTTCACCTGCCGCCCGGCGCTGGTAGATAACCGTTGTTGCACATCATCTCCTCGCAACACTTGTGCCCACCAATCCACCAACCACCATGTCGCATCACCACAACTTGGACGTTGGCAAAACTGCGCTATTCAACACAACCGCGACCGGCGCCGATCTAGCCTCCCCCACCGCATTACCAGACGCAAAGTCTCCAGGTGTCGCACGCATCGAAGCCCTCAACGCGCACACGTCCTTCATCAACCGCTGCTGCATCTTCTTCGGCATCTTCCTCATTGCGTATGCGTATGGTTTGGATGGGACGCTCCGATACACCTACCAACCATATGCCACTGCGGGATTCCAACAGCATTCCACCTTGGCTACCATTAGTATGTCTGGTGAAATCTGTAGTCATTCCGAGTCACCAACGCTAACATTGACCAAGATGTCTTGAGGAGCGTCATCGCCGCTGCTGCGCAGGTAAGTCTTAGAGTCTGCTACCACGTATAAACCCATGCTCACTGTGTGCTCAACAGCCTACTGCGGCTAAGATTGGTAAGTTGAGTCTTCACACCGATCAAGATATGAGAAACTAACTCGATGGTCACAGCCGATGTCTTTGGCCGCATAGAAGTCGTCATACTCTCCATGCTCTTTTACATCATCGGTATGCACACACCAAACTGGGAGCTTAGCGTTGTGCTCTGGCAGTCGTACTAACACGACCAAAGGTACCGTCATTGAATCCGTCAGTTCAAATGTCGAGTCCTTCGCCGCAGGCGCAGTCTTTTACCAAGTGCGTGCTGCAACAACGCCAAACGGACAAGACCAATACTAACGGGTATCCTACAGATTGGCTACACGACCATCATCGTGCTCATCGAAATCATCATAGCCGACATCACCTCCCTTCGATCTCGACTCTTCTTCTCATACATACCTGCCGTTCCATTTCTGGTAAGCAATATAACCGTACGCTCCGGTTTAGCTTGTTTCTGATGTTCGGTAGATCAATACTTGGGTCAGCGGCGATGTAAGTCAAGCTGTGCTTAGTCATACCACTTGGCGATGGGGGGTAGGCATGTGGTGCATCATATACACAGTGTGTTGCATCCCTCTAGTCGCTTCGCTCATGTGGTCCAGCCGACAAGCTAAAAGGGCCGGCGCATTCGATGCATACCAAACACCATACGAAGTTCATGGCGGTACCAGGAATTTGCTAGTCACTCTCTTTTGGCAAATGGACGTCCCCGGCGTCGTGCTGCTTATTGCGGTATTCGGCTGCATTCTGACTGTAAGTCGACATGTGTTAGCACCAGACGAGATTCCGATTTGCTGACCAACCACGAGCCTTTCACCATCGCAGGTGGCGCGCAATCGCAATGGGGGACTGCCAAAGTCATTGCTCCTCTTATCATCGGCTTCATGTGCCTCCCCGCCTTTGTCCTCTGGGAACGCAGAGCACCTCATCCAATGCTCCCGTTCCATCTACTGAAGGATCGTGCGGTTTGGGGTGCTTTAGGTATTGCTTGCACTTTGAACTTTGCATGGACCATGCAAGGCGACTTCCTGTACACTGTACTAGTCGTCGCATTTGATGAATCAGTAAAGAGCGCAACTCGCATCAGCTCTTTGTACAGCTTCTCCTCGGTAATCACCGGATTGATCCTTGGTGGTGTTGTATTCAAGGTCCGCCGCTTGAAACCTTTCATCGTCGCCGGAACTTGTCTTTTCGTGGTAGCTTTCGGTCTTCTAATTTACTACCGTGGCGGCTCTGGCGATTCGTTGCATTCCGGCATCATCGGAGCGCAGATATGCTTGGGCATTGCAGGAGGCATGTTTCCATATCCTGCACAAGCCAGTATCCAAGCTGCCACAAAACACGAGCGTAAGTTTCTTCCATGGCAACTCACGCTAGTTGAAGCGACAATACTAACTACCCAAAACAGACGTCGCAATCGTAACGGGCATTTATCTCGCTACCTACAACATTGGCAGCGCGCTTGGTAATACAGTCTCAGGTGCTATGTGGCAGCAGATCATCCCAAATGAGTTGGCCCGTCGCATTGGCGATCCCTCGCTCGCAGCCGTCGCGTATGGTGATCCGTTTGCATTTGCAACTCTATACCCAGTGCAAACCCCAGAGCGTATCGCTGTGATACAGGCATACAGACACGTGCAAAAATTACTCTGCATCACGGGTATATGTCTTGCAGTACTTCTTGTCGCTTTCTCGCTAGTCATCCGGAACCCGGAGTTGGGCAAGGACCAGAGCCTGAAGCATGCTGAGGAGGATGCAGAAGTCAATTGCTCGGATAGTAGGTCCTAGTGTTGAAGTTTAGCACATGTTACACGCTAGAGTCAGTACCGACTGATCTTGTTGCATATACGAGGGTCCAGGTGGTGGTGGAGCGGACTGACATCATCGTCGTCTACGGATACTACCGAGCTGTTGAGCTTCTACTATAAAGCAACAAAGAGACAGATGATTTGGAATTACCTCTAGCCCATCGGTGAATCTACATCGTTTACTCGTATGCCACAATGTTACTGCGAATATACAGGTCCGAGGTCACTCGCGAAGAGACTTCAGCCTTGAGCGCGAAGCCCAGAAGACAGAAAGCTACTTGTGAGATGAAAGGCGACCAAGAGCCTGATGCAGCCCTACCAAACTCGATCTCGAGTCCCCGACACATAGCAGCCCGCCTCTCGATCACATCCACGACAAACCGCCGCCCCTTGTTAACGACATGTGTATGGTGCCCGGCGAACACGAGACATCAAAAATCACTGCAGAAACGAGTTTGCGAGGCGCACCATGATCGATGTCGCTTTGGCTGTGGTCGGAGCGACGATGAACGCCCATGCCTTTGTGCGCACACTTGGGACGATCCGAGCGACCAAGATCCCTCACGTGCATTCCGACGCCGGGTTGACCTCAAGGAATCCAAGATAGCTTGGTAGCACAGGCTTCATTGCGACTCAGTTCTAACCCGCCGAAGATCGTGGGGCTCCTGCGGGCTGCTGGGCCGTGCGTATCACGCAGGCTGCAAGAGTGCTGTCCCGGCCAATGAATCCTCCCTACGGCGTCTACCATGTTGCAACGCCTGTATTGTCAAACAGCCTGGTCGAGAAAAATGCGCAAAGCAGCCAGAAACTTTGATCGCGGGGTCTTGCAAATATCTGCTTGGGCATGGACGCATACCTAGACAACGACTTCTTCGGGACCTCGGGAGCCTCCGACTTCGGCAGTGCGCTTCGCAGAGTGCGGCTGCATCTTTGGTTTGTGCGAAAAGCTCAGGAGCATTTGGATGAACAGCACGTCCTCACAATATGCATTCGCTTCTTCTACGGCAAGGATTTGTCATCGCTGCCTCCGTTGTTGGATCATGCCACTCCGCTACCAGGTTGTTCGGGCGTTCGGTCTAAAAAGAAAAACCGAAGTCTCCCGTATCCCGGACATCAGTTTCGCCGCCGTGTGTATGAGGGCCTTCCAGATACCGCCACGAACCTGGTTACGGAAGGTCGATAAGCATTGGTGTCGTATCCACGGTTGTGCTAATTGCGACGGCAGCACATCGCGCCATCACGGCGCCACGAAAAGCATGCATGACATCGCTCAGGGCCGAAAACGACATGCGCATGTCGGATCTTCAACCGAATGTATGCTACCAGCAAGTGACAACTCTGCTGCTAGGTTGAATCCTTACGGTTTACCTTCTGCCTTCAGAATCCGTTATCTGTTGACCCAATACCGAAGCACAAGCAGAGAACAGATCGTCCAAGAGTGTCAGTCACTTGGCTCGAACCAGCTGCTTTGAGCTGGCTGGAGACATTGCATAACGCATCTTATGTGCAAGCAGGTATGATCCGAACTATGCGTGAATTGTGTGGTAAGATATGCTAGACGAGACAGCCAAAGCTCCCAAGATACCTCGACATGCGCGTCACCTGTAGCTTTGCTCTCATACCCATCTTCCACCCCTAATCTCTGGCTATGGCTTCCGGTCTGCCTCTCGAGCCTTGACTATGAGTGGCGGCTTCAGCCAGAAAGAGTATGTTTGTTGATCCATCCAGTCATCACAGCTTTCGTTGAGCTCGAAGTCGAAGTCCCACAACAAGTGGCCCAAGGCAAGCCTCAACTCATAGTGTGCCAGACTGTAGGCGGAATTAGGCCTCTGCATAAAGGTGACCAGGGTAGTGGACTTACTTTCTTCCAAGGCAGGCGCGTGGACCGACTGAGAAAGGGTTGAACGCGTTCTTGTCGTCCTTCTCAAACTCCACGGAGCCTTCAGGCAACCATCTCTCTGGAGCGAAATCGTCTGGTCGGACGAAGTTTCTCGAGGAGTGAAACATCGGATAGTGGAGTATAAACACCGTGGCGCCCTTCGGAACATACTTGCCACAAATCTGCATACCGGCTGCTGGTACCAACCTCGCCAACGTCTCCGGAGCGCCAGGGTAGACTCGCATGGCTTCGTCTAGAACTGCGCTCATGTACGCTAACCTCGGCAGTGCCTCTATTGTCATCGCGTCTTTCGACTTGAAACTGTCATAGATCTCTTGCTTCAATCTCATCATGCAGTGGGGATTCTTCAAAAGTAAATATAGCGTTCCCGAAAGCACTGTTGCCGTAGTTTCTGACCCTACCACCATGAAGAGAGCGGCATTGCCGACCATTTGATCCAGAGAGAGGCTCGCTTTCTTTCCGCCAGGTCCACCGGTGATCAGACCCCAGAGATCTGGACGATCGGTCTTTCTTTCCAATCTTTCCTTCACACGATCTTCGGCGAACTTCATGTGCGCATCTCGCTTTGCCTTCATCGATTTCGGGACCAAGAGCGGCAGGATCTTTGACGCAAAAGGAACGTGGTAAAATACCACGATGCGGATGGTGACTACTTTGATCGTTGCAACTATCACACGAACCCAGCTGTTGTATTCTGATCGCTCCAATAGACCCAGAGAGGTGCCGAAAGCTAGATCACCCATAACGTCGAAGGCTAGGAAGTTGAACATGTCTACCATGTTTGTCTCAAGACTCTGATCAGCGCGCGACTGGACAGCTGCTGTCAATCTGTTGACGTGCTTGAGTAACAGGGGCTCCTGCTCCTTCAGTGCCCGGGTGGAAAACCCTTGATTGAAGAGTTGGCGTTGTTCTCGATGCTTCTCGTCATCCAGCACGTCGATGATGCCCGGCTCTCCCGACATAGGTGGAGGGTTAGCAAGAGGGTTTTTTGGCAGCGGCTTGCGAGATGTGTAGGTGCCTGTCCCATGGATGTCTTTCGAAGTCAGCGTCGAGAAATATGTATGCGGAAGAGGCCATGTTTACCCTTCCATGCATTGCTAGAGGTGTAGCTCAATTCCCAGGGACTCAATCGCACAATTGGCCCATATTGCTCATGTAGACGGTGCGCATCAAACACCGTAGTACCCCTCCATCTAGAAAGAATGCGGGGTATAGGAGATGCTCGCCATAAGAACGGACCGGGGTAGTGTCGAAGTGGATGGATGAGAATATTGTACGACAGCCATCCTGCGATGGAGGTAATCTGATCACGATTAGAATTTCTACACCCTCATCGTACGAGTGAAGTAGCTTACTGCTACCGAAAAAATGCGTAGAAAGAGTAGAACAACTGTCATGATGAGATACACAATGCTTGGATGGCACAGAGTTGCTCCGAGGGAATCTGTGGTGTGTACAGAAAGACCATGGGCATTTTTTAGCCAGCTTCATTGCTTGTCCGATCAACCAAGGCATGCACTGACCGCTTCTCAAGTGCGATAAGGAATGTCATTTTCCTCGATTGGCATCACGCGACACCTTCTTGCCTTCGGTAGTTTTCTGGATACACACGGTCTTTACTCGGCGTCTCTTCGCAAGCACCGTATGCAACCCTATACTTGATCAAGACAAGTGGAGATGGCTGGTTCCACAGCGTGTTACAATCTAGAGTAGCTCCTAATCTCTATATCGTGGGGGATGTAAGTAGGTCCGTTTCAAAGAATGCTAGGAGTGATGAGTGAGCGAGTCTTGTGTACAATGAATCGCATAGTAGAGTACGTTGTATATAGTTATCACAGGAATCATAGCTCGCGAAACAGTCTATATACCAGCTGGTTCAACATAGCGAATCGTTCGTGATTCCGTAGACAGTTTAGGTATTTTTCGATATGCGCAGCCAGTCTGATCATTTCGCGCCTTCTGTGGCGTTCTTTTGCCCTCAAAGCAAGGCCCCCACAGAGGCGTACCTCGAGCAGCTCCAAAAGTACATTGTTGAAACGCCCCTACTCCTCCCATTTGCAGAAGCCATCACGTCGTTGACGGACACATGGACCATACTTTGTGACGGCCACCCGGACATAGCCAAACTCAAATCGGGCAAGCGACATGTCGTCAGTCTGAAGCGATGGATAACCGACGGAATATCTGGGCCTGTTTCAAGCTCTATGTCCGGTATTCTAGCGTTGCCGCTGTTGGTCGTTATCCAGATCTGCCAGTACTTCCAGTTGCTCGAGTTGCATGGTCTCACGCACGAGCGAATGCTGGCAAGCCTGAAGAAAGGTGGCGGCGCTCAGGGATATTGTGGAGGTCTTCCTACAGCCTTTGCTGTTTCTTGCGCCAAAGACGAGGAGGAGGTGGTCCATCTTGCAACCAAAGCTTTACGACTGGCATTTGCCGTTGGCGCATTTGGCGAATTGGGTGACGACGAGTTGGTGGAGGGGGCCACGACCATCGCAGTACGCCTGAGAACTCCTCCGCAAGGAGATGAGCTTGTGGCAGGTATTCCTAGAGTAAGTTGGGATTCTTTTCGTATTCGCTGCAGGGCCTCTCCCCTGTCGGTCTTTGGACTTGTGTCACAGGAACATGACTTCCACCGAAGCAAACAAGCAGCATTTAGCAATTCCATTCCTGTGTAACAGCTACTTACAACATGCAGTGCTACATTTCGGCGATCACAGACCCAAAAACGATAAGTATCGTAGGCCCTGTGCTAGAGCTCGAGAAGGTGGCAGAAAGAGCTCGTAACCGGGGTTTGCTAGTCACTGATATCCATATCCGTGGCAAAGTGCACAACCCGGAGAACGCGCCTTTGGTCAAAGTGCTGTTTGACATTTGTCAGGAGCATGACGGCATGATGCTGCCTGATGCTAGTCAGCTGCGAGTTCCTGTGCGATCGAATTTGGATGGCAGCTTGCTGCATGATTGCTCGCTGACACACGAGGCAATCAACACCATCCTCGCTTCTCGATGCGAGTGGTATCGGCTTTTGAAGGATGTCGCACAGGACCTAGCGGGAAGTGGTACAGACGCCCATACATTTGCTTTGTTCGGCATAGGAGACCCAGTCCCCCTGATGCCGTTCCACAACGCTCGCTTGCGGATATCGAAGATGGAAGTCCATACCACTGTTCAGGGGGCCAGGTTGGCTGAATACAAGTAGTAGGTAGCCCCAACAGGCTGACGCGACTAGCGCCGCGCTAACACATCACGCCAGCCCGGAAGACGCCATTGCCATCACTGGTGTTTCATGCCGACTCCCACGAGCAGCCGACCTCGAAGAACTATGGCAGCTCCTCGCCGCTGGCACATCGACTTGCGAAGAGATCCGCCATGACAGGGTTCCGATGCGCGAAAGCTTTCGCGCGTTGCAAAACGACAAATGGAAGCCGAAGTGGTTCGGCAACTTCATTGATGGGGTCGATGAGTTCGACTGGGCTTTCTTCCGCTCGAATGCCAAGGAGGCTGCCAGCATGGACCCTCAGCAACGCATCCTCTTGGAACTGACCTATCAAGCTCTGGACAGCGCGGGCTACCTCCGCAAACATGTTCGCGAGAACGGAGACAAAGTCGGCTGCTTCGTCGGCGCAAGTTTCATCGAGTACACGGACAATACGAGTGCCCATCCACCAACTGCATATACAGCGACTGGTACCATTCGGGCATTCTTGTGCGGCAGGCTTAGCTATCACTATGGCTGGACTGGACCGGCGGAAGTCATCGACACGGCCTGCTCCTCTTCGCTTGTCGCCATCAATCGTGCTTGCCAGTCCATCTGGTCGGGCGAGTGTCCTATGGCTGTTGCTGGAGGAGTGAACATCATCTCCGGAGTTCACAACTATCTGGGTCTTGGCAAGGCCGGCTTCCTCAGCCCGACCGGTCAATGCAAGCCTTTCGATCAAGCGGCTGATGGCTATTGCCGTGGAGATGGTGCTGGAATGATCGTATTGAAGCCCTTGAAACAGGCGATGGCAGATGGTGATCCAGTTTTAGGCGTCATACCGGGGTCGTCCACCAACCAAGGCGGTTTGTCTGCATCTTTGACAGTCACTCAACCCTCGGCACAGGTTGAGCTATACCAGTCGATTCTCGAACGTGCTGGAATGAGTCCAAACCATGTGTCCTACGTTGAAGCCCACGGGACCGGCACACAAGCAGGCGATCCTCTTGAGGTGAGCAGCATCAGAGACGTGTTTGGTGGATCAGATCGTCCAACCAAACTCTATCTTGGTTCTATCAAAGCCAATACTGGCCACGCAGAGTCGGCGGCTGGGGTCGCTGGACTGCTCAAAGTCATCGCTATGTTATGGAAGAAAGCAATCCCGCCCCACGCATTGTTCAAATCTTTGAACCCCAAGATTCCCTCATTGGCCCCGGACAAGATTGTCATCGCAAAGAGCCTGGAACCATGGGAAGTACCCTTCAGAGCTGCGTGGGTGAACAACTACGGCGCGGCTGGAAGTAACGCATCGCTTGTTGTCTGCGAAGGGCCTCGGATGAGCTCTAGCAAAGCGTAAGTGTGAATCTCGCTCCTAGAAAGCTAAGCCTAACCTATCTGAATAGACCCACTCAGCTGCCTGCGGGTACCCACTATCCAATCATACTCTCAGCCCACACAGTTGAGAGTCTGAAGGCTTACGCAGCTGTCCTTAAATCGTATATCAGCCAAGGAGATCTGAGCCTCTCGAGCCTTGCTTACACCCTATCTGAGCGGCGAAAGCGCCATTCGGTGGCCTGGATGACAACAGCTTGCGACATTGCCGGCTTGCGCACCGAACTCTCCACGGACATCTCGTCATGCAGCATACCCCAACCTTCGAAGCGTATCGTGCTTGCATTCTCCGGCCAAAGCAAGCAGAATGTCGCTCTATCGAAAGCGGTTTACGAGTCAAATCCCAGGCTACGCTACTACCTCCAAGAGTGCGATCGAATCCTCGTCGCGCTTGGAACTCCATCGATCATCCCGGCTATCTTCCAGACCACCGTCATTACCGATCCAGTTCTGTTGCAGACAGCTACCATGGCGGTCCAATATGCTAGCGCTAGGTGTTGGATCGATGCTGGCGTGCAGCCCGCTTGCGTCATTGGACACAGCTTCGGAGAGTTGACAGCAATGGCCGTATCGGGTGTGCTCTCTCTTGAAGAGGCCCTCAAACTTGTTACTACCCGAGCCCAGCTCATGGTGACTAAATGGGGACCAGAGAGAGGTACTATGCTAGCAATATTTGCGCCGTACTCTGTTGTCGAACGTGTCATTGATGCAATCGGTGGTGAATCCCTAGAGATTGCTTGCTTCAATGCCACTAACAGCCACGTCGTAGTTGGCACCAAGATTGCGGTGACCAATGCGGAAAGACTGCTGGTTACTGACCCCTTGTTCAAGGGTGTCAGCAGTCGGAGAGTCGATGTAACTCATGGCTTCCATTCCGTCTTCACCGAGCCACTTCAGAAAGACTTCATGGAGTTCTTGAAATCATTGGACTTCAGAGAAGCTTCTATTCCCATCGAGCCATGCACAAAGGTGCACACTTCATTGATCAATGCTGAGCATGTTGCATCACATCTTCGCCAACCGGTCTACTTCATCGACGCCATTCAGCGGATAGAAGAGCGCCTGGGAGGCTGCATCTGGCTTGAAGCAGGATTCGATTCATCCATTATCCCCATGATTAAGCGTGCGACAGCTGAACCGGAGATTCATTCATTTCTCAACATCAAGACGGCTGATGTTAGTCAACCTACCAACGTTCTCTCTCAAAGTATCATCCACCTCTGGAAGGAAGGGATCGATATCACCCCATGGGCTTTCCTGTCTCCTTCCGAAGCTGGTTTAGAACCAGCATGGCTACCCCCCTATCAGTTTCAGAGAACCAAAGCTTGGCTCGAGAATGTTGATAGAGCTACTGAGCTTCAGCGGAGTTACGAAAGTCTTGGCTCGCAAAAGCTCGAGACCGCTTCTGTTCCGATCCCTGTTCGCTTGCTGCATCATGCTGAGTCTACTAGCAGTGCGAACAAGTTTGTTGTCAATAATTCGGCCAGCCGCTTTCGTGAGGTCATCAGTGGCCATGCAGTCCGTGGTCGGCCGCTTTGTCCCGCTTCCATGTACATGGAGTGTGCGGCTATGTCAGCTCAGATTCTGGGTGCAGACCTCGGATCTAAATCGCTAGCATTTGAGGACCTATCATTCGAATCACCGCTAGGCGTCGACCTGGATCGCAACGTCAATCTGACTCTCGAAAATATTGACAAAAACGGATGGAAGTTTGTTCTTTCGAGCTCTTCCGGGCAAGCAACCAGTTCCCACCGCGCAACTGTTCATGGCAGGGGTCGGATGGCTCTAGTAGAGAATCCTCGATTTTCTACATACAAGCGGCTCATAGCTGACCGCCTTGACTCAATTCGATCGAGTCCGAGCTCGGAGAAACTCAACGGCGGACGAGCCTATAAGCTGTTCTCGAAAGTTGTGGACTACGCCGACTTCTTCCACGGGATTCAAAGTATCGTCATTGACAACAACGAGGCACTAGCCGACATCCGTATGCCAGACAGTCATCTTGGGGGCAATGAAAGCGCAGTAACGAAGTATTGCGACACTGTGTCCATTGACGCGTTCATTCAAGTCTCCGGCCTTCTCATCAACAGCAGCAAAGTATGCCCACAGGGTCAGGTTTTCGTAGCTTCCGGCCTCGAAAGTGTCACGACGTCAAAACATTGCGACTTCGACACTCACAAGGAATGGGACGTCTATGCCATTTTCACTCTCATCGATGATGTGCATGCGACCGGCGACGTTTTCGTTTTGACCAAAGACGGCGAGATAGCCATGACAGCTATCGGTGCCAAATTCCATCGTCTCGAAATCTCCAAGCTTGAGCGAACGCTTGACGCAGCCAATGGATCAAGATTAATCTCTAAATCGGGTTCATCTCTCTCTCTTCGCGAGAACTCTAGGCCCGCTATGCTCGAGAGCCCTCCGCCATTGACGCCCGATGGCGCTTCCAACTCATCAAGTGCTTCATCGGTGGCTGGCGACGAAGCCAACGAATCAGATGATCCGTTGAGGGCGATGATCTCCGCATATACTGGCGCACCAGCAGATTTCATTGCCTCAAACACTTGTATCGGTGATCTTGGTATCGATTCACTGGCGTCGGTCGAACTCTCGGACGAGATTAACGACCGTTTTGGGAAGATTGTGTCGCCTGGCGAGCTTCTAACCGTGAGCTTTGGTGCATTGAGCCAAACCATATTTTCTGGCGTCACCAAAGCCGACCGAAAGCAAGTCTCACCAGTAATCACGCCGACGGCTAGATCTCCCTCCCCGGTCTCTAAGACATCCAAAACCGGATTAATGCCTCATTCAAGCCCGGAGGAAGGTGCCAAGGACTCTATTGGTAGGACTCGACGCGCGAAACTGTTCGAGCTTATATCAGATCTTTGTGGCGTTGCTGTCAGCCATATCGAAGATCACCAACTTCTTCAGGACCTCGGCTTCGACTCTTTATCCACCACAGAACTCGTTTCCTGCCTATCTGAAGAGTTCAACGTCGATATCAATGGTATTGATAGCCTCCTTGACGTTTCTGTCAAGGATCTGATGCACTTGGCTGGACTTTCTCCAATGAAGCCAAGTACCACCCCACTTTCGAAGCCGTTAAACTCACCTGTGCTTGATCCACCCATACACCATTCTATCAGAACTGCCGAGATTACGGATCCGTTTCAATCTCTCTTGGAGGCGGAGTCTTCCTTTGAAGATTATGCCCGGTCTTGCCAGTTTACAGAGTATCTAGCAAAGGTCTCTGCTCGTCAGGATGAGCTTCTTCTTGCTTACCTGATTGAAGCTTTCAAGAAGCTAGGGATTGATTTCAAGGCCATTGCGCCGGGCCAGAAGATTCCCGATTTCGGATATCAACCTAAACACAGTAAGGTAGTGCACAGGTACTACGAGATTCTCCAAAGGCATTCTGTCATCGAGAAGAAAGACTCCGGATATATCCGGTCATTTTGTTCACCCACCCTTCCTCCCAGCTCGTTCCAGCTTCTACGCGACCTCATCACGGACCACCCAAATTATCGCTGTGAGGCTGAACTCATGGCTCTCACCGGACCGAAGATTGCAGAATGCTTGATGGGTGTGGAGGACCCTGTTAAGCTGCTCTTTGGCACCAGCACGTCCCAGGAAATCGTTGGAAGCTTCTACACTCAAGCCCCTATGTTTGCCACTCTGACTGAGGTTCTTGTGGACTTCATGGTTCGATTAGTCAAGAAGGCAAACGGGCCAGTTCGTATCCTCGAGGTCGGAGCCGGCATGGGAGGGACTACCAAGCGGCTTGGTGAAGCACTAGGTGCTCTCGGCCATTCCATTGAATATGTATTCACGGACATATCTTCAACCCTGGTCCGAAACGCTTCTAAGAAGTTCAAATACTCGTGGATGCAGTTCAGAACGCTTAACCTTGAAGTCGAACCGCCTACAGATATGGTTGGCAGGTTCGACGTCGTCATTAGCACGAACTGTGTTCATGCAACCGCCAACAGAACTGAAACCTGTCGTCGTATCAAGCACATGCTCAATCCGCATGGTGTCTTGGTGCTCTCAGAAATCACTACGATCTTCGACTGGCACGAGGCTGTTTTTGGTTTGCTGGACGGTTGGTGGTTGGCGGTCGATGCCACACATGCCATTCAACCCGCAGCAGTCTGGATGAACTTCATGCATCAAGCTGGGTTTGCAAGCGCCACCTACTCTCAAAGCACAATGCCGGATTGCAATCTTCAGCGGCTACTTATAGCGTCTGTGAAGCAGTATCCGGAACCACAGCGTCACAGTGACTTGCCAACGTCTGGTATTGACACAGTTGTTTACAAGGTCGTTGATGGTATTGAGATAGAAGCCGATGTCTACTTGCCGAACAGCCCTCCAATTAGCTCGATGCCTGTAGGTAAATGGCCCTCCGCACGCGTTGCTGTTCTGCACTAAACGTCTGGCAGCATTGATGATCCACGGAGGTGGCCACATGACACTTTCACGCAAAGCAATCAGACCAGCACAGACAAAGTTCTTGTTGTCGCACAACATTCTTCCCGTCAGCATAGACTATCGGTTGGTTCCAGAGGTGAATGTCATTGACGGACCGTTTTCCGACGTACGAGATGCATACGTTTGGATCCAGACAAAGCTCTCTGCTATCGCATCTCAATACGGCATCTCGATAGACCAAACTCGCATAGTTTCGATTGGGTATTCAACGGGTGCCCATCTCGCCATGAGCCTTGCTTGGACTACCAAAGCGCTCGACATCCCGTCACCAGCCGCCATATTGGGCTTTTATGGCCCAACCGACTTTGAAACTGGGGCTCTGGAAAGGCATCAGGAAGAGCAGTCTTACGGAGAGTTCCCTGCCCGCAGAATGCGACTTGAGAAAATCATGCAGGCTCTGCCGCGGGCACCCGTGACGAACTATGGCACCATGATGGATGGTAGTCGATTGGGTTGGATCAAGCCCGGCGACCCACGCTCTGAGCTCATCTTCGCGGTTCTCAAGGAGGGCATCGGGCTAAACGTTCTGCTCTACGGCCTTTCTCCTAAGGCTCTGGCCCAAAAGCCTGACCCAGAGCTTGTCAGAGCGATTAGCCCAATGGCGCATGTGCGAGACGGCTCCTACAATGTCCCCACATTTGTCATTCATGGGCTACACGATGAGATTGTTCCGTTCAAGACAGCCGAATCGTTCGTAAAGGAGCTGGACAATTCTGGAGTTGAATGTGGCTTCTTACCGGTTCCTGGAGTGAAACACATCCATGATCTGCATCTCAAGCCGGGAAGCAGAGAGTGGAAAAGCCAAGTAGAACCAGGATATCTGTTCCTGTTCAAGCATCTAAAGATGTCCTTTTAGGTAGACTTATAGTCGAACATGGTCACTCATCTCTTGTCACTGCAACGAATGAATCACATATCTGGTAGAGTCGATCGCCCTTTCTGGTACCATGCATGCCCTCGCAAAGCAGAACCTGGTTGTATTTCGATAAGTTGCGTAGCCAACCATGCAGCGGAGCAAATCAGTAGGCGCTCTCGGTCCTGATGTCAATACCGAGGTTGAGAGTACAAGCAAAGGTGGCCATTGCGTCAAGAAGGGTGTCTCTTATCTTCGCACACCGCTTGCGATGTAGGTGCATACTATCCAGAGCTAGCATCGTATCTATTGCGGACCGAATGTAAAAACGTACACCTCACATTTCGGCGACACGAAAATTGGACCGAGGAACCGGCGAACGGGCAGATCAACATTCAACCTACTCCGAGAGTCTGGTGACATATGGTGCGGGGCATGGTGTACCGGACACATGCAGCTAGTACGCTACAAGAAAGTCTCAAAAGGTAGCTTATGGCCCACTACGTCTCATGGTCACGCCGACGTCCAATCCACCATTGTTATCCATCCTCCGGCCTTCAGAAATGAGCACAGCCATAATCTCCGAAACGAGCAACATGTCCCCGAAAGGCAGAACGAAGATCACTCGAGAAGAAGAAGATCAGATATGGTCTTGGAACGCTTCACTTCCGCCAACTCCTCACTTGACTATCACCCAAGTCTTCACCAAGCAAGTCAGCTGCTCCCCTGACGCGCCTGCGGTGGACGCACCAGACGGTACACTCACATACACGCAATTGGAAGACTACTCTACGCGTTTAGCTCAACATCTTCATACTATACTCGATGAAGCCACTGCCGGTGAAATCATCCCGATCTGTTTCGACAAATCCATCTGGCTAGTTGTCTGTATGATGGCTGTGTCGAAGGCGGGGATGGCGTACACGACGCTGGACCCTGGCAACCCAACGGAGCGGTTACATGCGTGCCTGGCCACTATAAGTCCTCGAGTAATGCTTGCCGAAGAAAAGTTCAACGAGAGGTTTCCGCGCGAAGTTGTCAGCAAGGTGGTCATCAATGTGCCAGAACTTTGCAGCAGCGATTCCGAGAGTGGGATGATCGGAGTGATAGACCTGCCAGTCGGCCTTCCGAATGATCTCGCTTATGTGTGTTTCACATCAGGATCGACGGGACTACCTAAAGTGGTTCAACATACGCAAAGCAGTGCGGTCTCTAATGTTATCCATGGTCATGGTTACGCAGCTAGTAGCCGCGTTCTCAACTTCGCCTCCCAGGCTTTTGCTGCGAGCATTGTCACGACTTTGAAGACGCTTTGTAACGGGGGTCTATTGATCCTACCACCAGAGCGAGAGCGCATGGGCGGTATAGCGAACTTCATCACCAGGAAGAAAATCACTCGGACCTTCCTTACACCAACGCTGCTGAACCTGCTGAAGCCAGAGGAAGTGGATTGCTTGCAGTTTTTGACCGTAGGGGGTGAGCCCGTAACTCAGCGACTCATCGATATTTGGGCGCCGCGGGTGTCGCTTGTGGAGGCGATTGGCATGACGGAGGGCGTGGGTATTGCGAACGCCATCGATGTCAGCGGGAAGAAATGTAAAGCTCGCCAGTTTATGACGGGTTGCGCATGGATCGTTGACCAAGACGATGCGAATACACTAGCGCCGATCGGGGAAACGGGGGAACTTCTTTTTGAGGGACCAGCGCTATTCCAGGGATACCGCAACGATCCGGAAGCTAATACGAAGGCATTTATCGACGGGCCACCTGCATGGGCGAAAGTGAGGGGGGAGATGAGACCCAGAGTGATGTTTCGAACGGGAGATTTGGCAAAGTATATCGAAGATGGCGTTGTGCAGATTGTGGGAAGGAAAGATACGCGTGTCAAGTTACATGGGCAACGCTTTGAGTTGGGAGAGGTGGAGAAGTTGTTGTTGGACAGCCTCCCATCGGGTGTGACGGTCGCAGCGGAGATAGTCGAACCGACAACCGGAACTGGGCCAATGCTCGTCGCTTTCATACACGGGCTTGCAACAGACTTCTCTCACGAAGTCAGGCAGTTGAGAGAGAGATTGGCGGACAGTCTTCCGGATCACATGATACCGCGCGGATTTGTGGAACTCAAAGAACGGCCGTTAAACCCGTCTGGCAAACTCGATCGAAAGCTACTGCGGAGTCAGGCTGCCAGGATGTCGTTGGTTGATCTGGTGAAGCATGTTGGCGCTCTAAGCAAGTCTGCGCCAGTGACATTGCAGGAGCGAACGATGCAACGTCTATGGGCCTCAGTGCTCGGCCTTCCTGTAGAGTACATCGGTTTGCAGGACGATTTCTTCCATCTTGGAGGAGATTCCTTGCACTGTATCAAGCTCATCGCACAAGCACGGAAAGAGCAGGTCATTCTGTCAATCGAAGATATCCTGGTGAATCGAACTCTCCAGGCTATGAGTACATCGGCAAGGTTCGAGGTATGCGCTCAGTCGACTACGCTAGGCGGTGAATATACAGCGCACACGATAGAGACAGTCGCACCGGAGATCTCACAAGATGATGTCGACGCTGTTGCTCTGGCGACGGACTGGCAGGCCTGGTGTGTCGGGCAGGGTCTGCTCAAGTCACATGGCTGGCATGACTACATGATCTTCAAGTTCCCCAAAACACTGGATGTTGGAAGGTTGCAACGCGCTTGTCAACAGCTCATAAATCGACACGCCCTCCTACGGACGGTGTTCGTAGTGAAAGCAAGACAAACTTTCCAGGTCGTTCTCAAGGCCAAGGCTTTCCCCTTCCGGTTCACTGTGGAGCAGTCTAGTGACAGTCAGAATATGGACGGGCTTGTTAAGGAGATCATTCAGCAGGATATGAAACGACACCGTCAACTCGGCGATACTTTGGTAGCTTTTACCCTTGTACATGATGCCACGACTAGCACAGCGCAACTGGTCCTTCGAATCTCCCACGCCCAGTACGACGCGCTCAGTCTCGACACATTGTGGCGCTCGCTCGAGGCTTTGTATTTTGACAGACCATTGGAAGTCATTCCTTTCACCGACTTCTGCGCAGAAGCAGTCTTAGCAAGCAGGAATTCTGAGACGTTCTGGAATACAGCTCTGGCCAATAGCTCGATGAGCGAAGTTCGTGCTCACACTCGCCCTAGCGTGGACTGCCCTATGAACGGCGCCGTCAAGATTTCCGTTCCCTTGGTAGATCTGAAGACTTCGGGTTACACGAGCGCAACCGTTGTTCTTGCCTCATGGTCGATCGTGCTGTCGAAGCTTACGGGTCAGGACTCTGTCGTATTCGGGTGCATCATTTCTGGAAGACACATGATGATGCCCAACGTATCGGATATCCTCGGCCCATGCATGAACGTCATACCTTTGCGCACGGATGTCGTTTCAACCGCAAAAGCTTCTTCGCTTCTCGATGCGACTCAAAGCAACTATCTGAAGTCGCTGCAGCATGGCCATATTGGACACCATCACATCATAGAGAAGTGCACCAATTGGCCTCGATGGACACGATTCTCGACAGTCGTGAACCATCTCAGCTTCGGGTCGATCGAGCAGCCATTTCCAGAACTTGGCGGGTGCGCATTCGATGTGTACGAACCGGAGCATGACAAAGCCGACCTATGGCTACAAACATCTGCTCGCGACAACAAGCTAGAAGTCGAACTGAGATACTCGCAACAGGCTTTCTCGGAAGATCGGGTTAAAGCGGTGTTGAGCGGCTTCGTTCAAACTTACGAACAGCTGCCTCATTTATTGGAACAGAAACTGTCAGACATCCTTGCTCAATTCGATCTGGCTGCATTCCAGCACAACCTGGTCAGCCCCCGTCAAGCTATGAAGCAGGCATCAAGGCCTGGGACAGAAGATACAAAGATCTTGGAGGAAGTAGTTTGTTCAGCTTGGGAGTCGGTGTTGGGATCAGACTTCAGGTCGTCTCCTGGTTTCACACACCAAACTCCGTTCTACGAAATATGGGGCAACAGCATTGCTGCTGCCGCTCTTGCTTGTGAATACTCCAAGCGGGGATTTGCTACAAGTATTGAGGAACTGCTTGATTTCCCGTCTGTTGCAGAGACTATTGCTCTTCTCTCAACCCGCACAAAGGGCGATGCTGAGAAAGTCACTTAGCCTGCTGCACAACGAGCTTTTTGACATAGATAGTGCATTCATATCACAATAGACGTCGGCTTTTGATGAAACCTCGAGTATGAACCAATGTCGTGCTACAATGAGATGAAGATGTTTGCAGCCTGGAATGCGCAGCATGAGTCGTCCGGAAAAAAGGTGGCGTCCAATTTCGACTACTTACTGCACCTGCATGAATAAACTGAGGACCAGGCGAATATCGAGAGAGCTTACTGAAACAAGTCCACCTGTATTCTTGCATCAAGAGTCCATGTATAGAGCAGAGTTGATGGAACCTCGACTGCAGACCTCATGAACTTCTCCGGCCATAGGGCTCAAATGGAAAAATCGCCGCAATGCCTGCCATGAGGATGTACAACGCGGCGCAAATATATATCGGGACAGCGGTTCCCGTCTTTGCCGCCAGTCAGCGCGAACCCAGCCATTCGGAGTCATCTCAAACATGACAGGTTCAGTGAAGAGCAGACTTACATCAGCGACCGTCGCAATAACGGCACTCAAGATTCCCATAACCCTGTTCCAGGCAATCGCGATCCCATTGCCGGTACCTCTGTGCGCACTAGGCAGCACCTCCGGCGTATAAGCGTACAGCGTGCCATAGTAGATATTTAAACAGAAGTTGATGATGCATGTGAACGCCACATTCTGAACAGCAGTCCTGACCTGCGTGTACGCGAAGAAGAAAGCCATGGTGACCAATGCTCCAATAACCATGGTATACTTACGACCAAGGCGCGTATGACACATGTAGCCCGCTAGCACAGGTCCCCAAATCCCGCTAAAGTTCACGAGGGTGTAGTTGCGCCAAGTGATGTAGGGTGATGGTTCACCGAAGGCGGCGCCGCG